AACTTAAACTGTTATTCTTTCCTTCATATATTTTTGCATGCTGGCACAGATGAATAAACACTCAGGGCCTCAGTTTCCTCTTCTGCAAGAAAGAGAGGCTTGGACTGCATCATCTGTAATGTTCCTGATAGTCTAAGATTCCATGAGTGAAAATTCACATCATGAAATAAAGATTCTTTACTTTCAGAGGAATACAATGACATTTCCTTTAAGTATAGTGCTCCCCTAGCTCACATAAGTGCTTATTATTTCCAGATCATTAACTGTTTGACATAAGAGATTTGGCTGAGAAACCTGAAGCCCAAGTGTGAGGCCTCTGCCAATTGAAGATCAGTCAAATGTGGATAATGGCTTCTGTTACTATAATGCAAGTCTACAGGAAAATATGATTTAATTTATAAAAATTCTATCAAATGCAGCTTTTCAGGAATTCATCTGTTGAGTACAACAAGGTACATCTGTGCTCTATTATCCAATAAGTTCCACCTGGCAGGCAGATGATGTTAATACTTATAAAGGGGGAGGAAAGCAGGAAAAAAAGAGGAGTTTTTAGAAAGTATTTCCTCATCTCATTCTATTTTAACTTGTTTTATTCTATCACATCCTCATTTCTAGATAATGCAGAAACATTAAATTTGGCCAACCAATGGATGATGCACTTTCATTAACAGGTGGAAATGGATTAGCCATGAGAAATTCCTTTCAAATGTCGTTCCATAGTATGGAAAATTGGGAAGGGGGGACATGGAAAAACAAAAAGTAAGACCCCATTCTTTGTCCAACTAGCTTTGCTTATGATGAAATTCATAAAATGGTCATGGAACCTGTGTAATGTGAACCCCCAGAGGCTTGCTCTAGTTTCTGCTAAAATCAAGGGTCCTAAGGAAGCCAAAGGAAAACAAGCCATTAGGAAAACACAATCATTTGGGGGCATTAAGAAGATCAAGGCAGGTGCTCACTTCGGCAGCACATATACTTAAAAAAAAAAGAAGATCAAGGCAGGTTATTTGGATGTCTGGGAAAGTTGGACTTGAAGAATGCTTTCCAGGTCAATATGGTTTAACACACAGGATTCTTATTATAGTCACTATTCTGCCATAGGTGTCATTTTAACTTTCAGCAGGAGATCTCCTTACCCTCTCCCCATCCCCTGCTCATTTTTCCTCCTAGTCTCTATGGCTTCACCCAAGACAATGTCATCCATTCTTATTTGGGCCTTTGTAAACCAAAATACCTCCAGTCTAAGAAGTTAACTTCAAGAGCCAGACATCTATTTCATTATGAATATCTGTCTAGACATAAAAGGGATCACTCAACACTGCCTCCCATGGTCCTGTGAGCACCACAACAATAACAGGCCAACACAAGACAGACACATGTACCCCACCCACTCCACCCCCAGGGCTCTGACTAACTTTAATAGATTCTACCTGCAATAGAAGCAAATGAGAGGTAGGGAGGCTTCTCAGTTGGTAGAACTAATTGTGCTGTATGCAAAGACTGATTACCTGGTTTTGGGGGAAGTCTAACATGTTCAGCCTTATTAGTCCTTGGGTTCATTATGAAACCAAAAAGATCAAAAGGAAGAGGTTGGTTGATTGATTGATTATTTTGTCTACAATTGGAAATCTTGTGCAGAATTGCTGATCTATAATCAACAGGTGAAGTATAAAATGCAACTTTCTTTTTTTTTTTAAGTTGTTTTTATTTATTTGAGAGGGAGACAGAGATAGCAAGAGAGAGCACATGAGTGGGGAGGAGAGGGAGAAGCAAGCTCCCTGCTAAGCAGAGAGCCTGACGTGGGGCTCCATCCCAGGACCCCAGGATCATGACCTGAGCTGAAGGCAGATGCCCAACCAACTGAGCCACCCAAGTGCCCCAAAATACAACTTTCTTAGGAATCATGTTAAGTCTTAATTGCTTCCTTTTGTCATCCCTTCTGCAAAATGGTTATATTGAATTGTCTCATATAGTGTTGATAAATTTGTAATGGGGTCAGGGTAGGGGATCAAGACTTTTGCCTCAAGTCAAAGGTTTTTCCAAGTATTCTCCATCTGGATTATTATTTGAAATCTCCAGAGCAATTTTTTTAACGTACACATTCTCTGAAACAGCCTCCTTAGAGTGTATTCTTCTCATTTCATCTCTGGGGAGACCAAGGCACCAATATGGACACTCAAACTAGATTTTACATGTGATATTAACAAAACAAGACTTGGAAAAAATATAAAACAACCAAATTAACATTTCTATCCTCAAAATTATGTCATTAGGAGGCCACATGCTTATTCTATTGAGGCATCCTTTGCTCCTAATCTTCTTCTATCTCCTTGGGAAAAATGTTCAGAGTCACTTCAGTCACAGGGAAAAATTAATCTAAATACCTCAAAATTCTTTCTTTTTTTAACCAAGAAAAAAAATGACATTTGTCAGGTTCTATGATTTGTTTGAGATTTGGTACCTAAAGATTTTTAATATTTCCAAATGTCAAGTCCACCATTGAAGGATTATTTGCAGTTATTAAGGATATTCCAAAGAATGTAACACAGACCTTTAAGGTAATTCCAAAGTTTAACAAGGCAATATTTTGGGATTAAGACTTTCTATGGGAGTGGCTACTTAGAGGAAGCCTCTGCTCATTTGCTTGCATACATTCAGGTCTCCAGGTTGTACAAACTATGGAAGGTTTCATTGTATTCTATGTAAATAGCACCCCTTGGGATTTCGTAACCAAGGACTCTGTATATCCTACTCTGTTTGGGAAAAAGTGATAGTATGACTTGAATTGCTCTCCCAGTCTTCATGGCATCCATCCTTTATAGCATCTTTTACCAGTCGAAGTCAGAATATCAGACCCTTGAGGGTTATAGTTTTTTTCTCAAGTATATTTTTGTCCTGTGGAATCATTGAGTGATAATCCTATTTTATTGCTAATTATTCTTTGTCATATGTGAGACTTTCAATGAAATGGGCACTTCTTTCTGGAGATGTTTAGGTGTTATATGTTTTCACATTATTCTGTAATTTTTATAGGGCAAAAGTGGCAAGGTTAGAAACATTTTTATCTTAAATTTAGTAAGATAGTCTGGGTTAGTATTGGTCAAAAGGCTTGGAATTTAAGCCTCAGATGTGTTTGAGAACTTTACTGCTGATATAATTTTCCTTTAATCTTTTCATTAACAACAACAACAACAACAAAAGCACAGTTATGAGAGAGATTGGAAAAAATGATAGAAACTCCTAAAAAATCCAAGAATAGGAATTGGTCATTGGCCCCATTTAACCAGTTAGGTTTATGGGTCACATTAATCAATATTCAGTTTCATAGCAGATGTGGAGGAAGTGAAAAGTCTGAATTCCAAAAGAACCCAAGAATACTGAAAAGTATCACATTTCACACACATGGGGAAAAATGGAGAGAGAAAAGATTTATGTATATCTGAAAGCAATAAGGATGAAAAAAACCACAACTCAAGTCATCAAAATCACTGTTGAGAAACCAGATTTGAATGCTTCGTAGAGTTTTCTTAATTAACTTTCAGCATCAGAAAGCTATGAATAATGAGTATACATCTTAGTGCAACAGTGATCTGGTGTCTCACCTTGAAGAGGAGCACTTTAAAATCAGACATGTAAATATCCACGCACAAAGGCATGCAGTCTATCTTTCTCTCTCACCTGCTCAATCTCTCTCTTTCAAAACATTCAGAGTTTAGCTTCTTGTATCTTTTGCAGAAGACCTTCTGTACCTTTTGTTCATTCAACAAACATTTACTGAACTCTCGGAGGGCCAGCCTTGCCACTAGGTAGAGTAAGAAATACAAAGAGAAGTTTGACAGGTGAAGAAAAGAAACCCCAAACGGTGAAAATTATCAAAAATAGGAAGGGTCTTGAAAAAAAAAATTGGAGCAAAATTGAATTTGGAGAAGGATAACACTTGCCCCCTTCCCGGCATCCACTCAAACCAGATGTACTTATTAATTCCTACTCTGTGCTGCCATGTGCCAGCCACTCTGGAGAATATGACAAGAGCAAAACAGAGCCTTCTATTCTCATCAACCTTGAACTCATCTTTTCAAGTTTTATGATACCCTTCTTTCCAGGCCCTCCTAAGCTGGCCACCAATTCACACAGCCAGGTGCTAGGAGCCATGTCTGCTCATTTCCAACTGGGTGGACCATGTAACACAATTACAGATATCCTACTAATAATCTGAATCAGTTGTTTACCAGTACAGTTATTTTAAGGTCAGCGGCTGGCAGGTTGGTGAACAGAGGAAAATAGGAAATGAATGAAATCATTTATTAACATTGAAAATAACCATTTGAAAGGTGTTGGGTCCTGGGGTAAATAGCACTTGATTGCTGCAAATGAGGGAATGGGAATTTTCCAAAGAAAGGACTTACCTGAAAGAATTTTCCAAAATTTTTTTTGGTGTCATGGAAAAATACTAATTTCAAAACAATGTTATTGATTGCTGGACATATTCTCAAGAAGGACATGCTCACTAAGAACTGTAACATGAAAACTGTTGTTCAAAACCACTACAACACTCATGCCTTGAGTATAACCTGAAAATAAAAGAGAAAAAAAGGATAAAAAAGAAAATGAAATTTTTATTGTGTGCCCATCATATACCAGGCTTGGTAATAGATGCTTTCATAAACACCATGTTACCTACATTTCACAACAAAGCTGTGAGTTAGAATTGCCAGTTTACAAATAGAAAAAATAAAGGCTTGGAAAAAGTCAAATAACTTGACTTAGGTCACATAGCTTATAGATAGTGTGTGCCTGAAACCAGGATTCATGTCTTCCTATCAAACTGCAAGGCTCTGACTCAAAGTACTCTCTCCAGGAAGGGGATTTGTATTAGGGGTGGAAGCTTTGGGAGGAAATTCAGAATTTTTCTCATTAATTAACCATTTAAGAGATGTTAAACTCTTCAACCACAAATCACTTATTTATTTGTTTATTAATTAATTAGTTAATTTGTTAATTAAAATATGGAACACTGCATGAGTTTGCATGTCAGCCTTGCAAGGGGCTGTGCTAATCTTCTGTGTATCGGTCCAATTTTAGTATATGTGCTGCCAAAGTGAGCACCAAATCATATTTTAGTTCAGTCTGATAAATTATGTATTAATCATATTTTCCTTGAATATATATGTCTAGAGTATTATTAAAAATTATAGAACATTTTCCTTGGATAGGACCTGCTGCCCTGTCCTTCCCTTTATCCTGGGACTCTGCATTCCTTTGGGAATGAGCAGTGACCCAGGAAGTCAGTTGGTTGGGAGAAAGATGGGTCTGAAAGTTGTCACTAAAAGGGATTTTGTCATATGGAAATAATTAAATAAGTGACAACTTATGAGTAAAGTTGTTCATTGCAGTATGATTTGTAGTGGCAAAATTTAGCAGTACCCAACACAAGAGTTTAGATAAATAAGAAAAAAAAAAAATAAGAAGCTCCTTTGTACAATGGAAATTTTTTCAGTGGTTAAAAATAGTGGTGTGCTAATGGGTGATGGATACCTGGGAGTTCATTATCCTATCCTGTTTTGTATGTATTTGAAATTTCCCATAATAAAAGATTTTTTTTTAATTTTTTTAAAGATTTCTTTATTTATTTGGAGGAGGGCAGAGACAGAGGGAGAGAGACTAGCAGACTCCCTGCGGAGCAGGGAGCCTGACACGGGGCTAGATCCCAGGACCCTGAGATCATGACCTGAGCCAAAACCAAGAGTCAGATGTTTAACCGACTCTGCCACCCAGGAACCCCAATAAAAGATTTTTTAAATGTTGACCATCTTATAAATAATTTTGTGACATCTTATGTGGAAAAAGCAGATTATTAAATGTAGTAGAAATTTCCATTGTTCATCTGCATTTTCCTCCCCTTTCAAGTATGTGGGAAGATTATACTTCCCTGTCCCTGGCAGTTGAACAAGACCATATAACTGGTCAATAGATGTAGGTAGAAGTGACATGTCACTTTCAGGAGGGAGCAATTTATTGCCAGTACGTGACTCTCCAGCCCTCTTTATTCCCTACCTCTGTAACTTAAGACATTCCAAGTGGTAGAGTTTTTGTCCCTGAATGAGGCCAATGTCAAACAGCTCCCTGACAAAGTAGAGTAGATATGTAGTGTGAGCAAGAAATAAACCTTTAATGTCTAGAGCCACTGGGATGTTTGCTGCCACAGCATTGCTTAGTGTATCCTGATTGGTAAACAATGTAATTTAACAAGAATACTCAGCTTGCTCCCTCTTCTCTGTAAAGTCTTTATGCAAATTGCATTCTCTGGGTAGCTTCTTCACTTAAGTTCATATTTAAAAAGTCAGAGACATAGGGTTTGGCAGATCATCCAGTCTAATTATAAATATTGAGGCCCAGAGGTCAAGTGATTGCCTAGGACACAAAGATTCAGAATGTATATATTCATTTTATTGTTTGTTTCTCCCATTTGACTCGAAGCCTCATGAGGACGGGGATTTTTGCCTGCCTGCCTGCCCAGCTGGGACTAATCCCTGCAACTCAAAAGGATGAGTGAGTGATAATCACAATGTATATCTATACAATACTGTCACTCATACATATCATCACATTTTGCTCTTATTCCGACTTGGAGAAAGGTAAAACTATGATTATTTAAACTATGATTATTTAAAAATTGAGGCCTAGAGGAAGTAAGTGTTCTCTAGATCAAAATCACACAGCTGAATCATAACACCTTACAATTTTCTGTGGTCTTTTCTAATTTTCTGTGGTCCTGTGCTAAGCATCTTCCATGTTTTATTAGATTTGATTCTCACAATAACCTTGTGAAATCAACTGGATTATGATTCCCCTTTTACAGGTGAGGAAAAAGATAAAGAAAAGTCTATGGAATTTAATGAATTCATTTTGCTAACATTTTCTGAATACCTGCTAAGGCCAAGCACTGCTGTATGCACTAAGAAAAGAGTACTGGACAAAGTCCCCTTCTCACAAAGCTTACACATCTGTGGGGGAGCATGGGGAGAGAGTAATGTCTATCAGAGCCTCTAATGCCCCCTTACAACCCCTCAGCCAACCTCTCAGTTGAGCTGCTCCCTGAGGGTTTCCATCACTTGGCACGGATAGCGTCTCACCTCAAAGGTGCACCTAAATATCTTTGTTTTCTGTCCCCGTGATATTTTGACCTAGAGGCATCTCAGATGTGAGCAGGGAATTACCACCCGTGGATGCAAACTTCAACCAACAGTGGATGGGAGCTCATGGATAAAACACCCAATTCTCAATGTAGACAGGCAAATAATGAGAAGTTTAATGAGCAATTATATTAAGCACTATCATGAATAAAAAGCAGGGTGAAGGGGTAGAGAAGGATCCTGAGACAGGGATGGCAAGGCTCTCTTTGTAGGTTGGATGTCCAAGAAGGACCTCTCTGCGGTGGTGGACGTTGGACTAATGACAAGGAGGCAGTCCTATAAAGATCTGGGGCAGGGGCTGGCGGGGAGTGTTTCAGGCAGGTGGAACAGTAGGGGCAAAGGCCCTAATGAAGAAACAGACATGAGTGAGAATAGTACGTGAAGAAGTGGAAGATGAAGTCGGGGGCCAGATCAAATTAATCTGGTTTGATTTGTTGGCTGGTAAGGAAAATCAGAAATTACTTTCATTGTGATAGACAGCCATAGGAGGGTTGCAGGCAGGGGAGTGATAGGACTGCGTGGAGTTTTCCAAGTCCAAAGCCCAAGCTCCTAACCTTTGTATCAGGACTGGAGTCAGTTGCCATAACAAAGACCCAACTTGACAAAAGCAGAAATTTGTTTCTGTGTCGTAGAACTGTTCAGGGATATAACAACTCCATGGTGCTGGGACTCCAGAATCCTTGTGATTTTTATTCCTTCAACAAATATTTATTGAGTGCTTATTATATACCATGGCACAGGAGATACATTGGTGAAAAAATATGGAGATATATATATATATACAAATTGTTGCCCACAATCAGCTTATATTCTTGTGTGGGGGGATAGACAATAGACAAAAATATAAATTGTAAGGTATGTTAGAAAATGGTAAGTGCTAAGAAGAACAAAGCAAGCAGGTAATGAGGAGGATGGGGGTGGAGGTGGGGTTGCAATTTAATTTATTTTTAAATTTTTAAAAAAGATTTTATTTATTTATTTGACAGAGAGAGACACAGCGAGAGAGGAAACACAAGCAGGGGGAGTGGGAGAGGGAGAAGCAGGGTTCCCGCGGAGCAGGGAGCCCCATGCGGGGCTCGATCCCAGGACCCTGGGATCATGACCTGAGCTGAAGGCAGACACTTAACAACTGAGCCACCCAGGCGCCTAATTATTTTAATTTTTTAAAAGATTTTATTTATTTATTGGAGAGAGAGAGAGCATGAAAGAGAGAGCACATGAGAGGGGGGAAGGTCAGAGGGAGAAGCAGACACCCTGCTGAGCAGGGAGCCTGATGCGGGACTTGATCCTGGGACTCCAGGATCATGACCTGAGCCAAAGGCAATCGCCCAACCAACTGAGCCACCCAGTCGCCCCAAGGGGTTGCAATTTTAAATAGACTTTTCAGGGTAAGCCTAGTTAAGAAGCTAACATTCAAACAAACATCAGTTAACCACGTGGCTATCTGAAGGAAGATCATTTCAGGCAGAAGGAATAACTATGCAAAGGCCCTGAGACCAGAGTATACCAAGTGTATGGGGAACAGCAAGGAGCTGCTAAGCAGCTGGAGGAGAGAAGTGGGAAGGAAGTAGTAGACAAATGCAGAGAGGTAAAAGGCCCAGATCATGTAGGGCTTTATAGGCTATTGCTAGGACTTTTCATCTCTGATTGTGGTGGGAAGCATTGAGAGGGTTGGGAAGGGGGTGATTAATCTGACTTAGGAGTTAAAAGAATCACTCTGGCTTCTCTATGGAAACTGATGGTGCGGAAAGAGGGGAGTAGGATAAATGCTGTGAGGTCATAAACAGTTATTGTAGTAATCCAGGGAAAAGGTAATTGTGGCTGGCCCCAGTAGAGGTGGTGAGAAGTCAATGAATTCTGGATATATTGGAAAGTAGAGCCAATGGGATTTGTTAATGGATTAGGTATCTTTCTTTGATAGAATGAGGAATCAAAAATAAGATTTTTAGGCTGAGCAAGATGAAGTCTTAAGGAAGGATGAGGCTGCAGTACAGTGGGGTGGGGAAGATTGCAGATGAAGCAAATGGCACCATCACAACCTAGGAGGTTTGCCTCATCCTTGTCATCAAATATGCATTGCTACTTCACTCTGACTCCACATTCCTACATTCCTACAAAGAGAGGAAGAGAGGAAGTGAAGGGCCTTCCTTTCATTTTAAATGCACACTTCTGATGTTGCTCATATGTCTTCCACTCATTTTCCTTTGGCCGAAATTTTGATACCTGGTTTCAAGGATGACCAAGCAAAGTGGTCTTCAGCTGGAAAGTCATGAGCTCAGCTAAAACTTGAATGTTCTATTCAGAAGAGAGAAGGGGAGAATGGAGAGTGGGGAACCATTTACAGTCTCGGCCTACAACCCCCTTGCCTTCCCAGCCAGCATCCAAACCCAAGTCTTCCGAATCTTGCTCCAGTGCTCTTTCTCCCCCAAAGACCTTCTTCCAAACAAACAGTTCCTTCTTGTTTAAGCAGTGTGGCATTTATCACAAATCCTATTCCACCAATGCTAGATGGAGTGCTGGCTTAAGTAAGGACATAAGTCAGCTTCCCATTCCTTTATCCAACAAATATTATCTGTCCAACTGATCAGGACTATATAATGGGAGCTGTGGGAAAAACAAAAATTAGTAAGACATGGTCCATGTCCTCAAAAATAAAGTGGCAAAGGAGGGAGGAACAGACATTTATACAATGAATTCTAATCAAAGGCAGAATTAAAGTAAAAATAAGATGTAAGCAGGGACAAGGGTAGTTGGTGGACTCCAGTTTGAGTGGGCCAGTGAATAAGAAAAATTTTGGTAGACCAGAAAGGCAAGGGAAGGCATTGTAGCCCAAACACAAATGTGAGGGTGGGGGCAGGGAAATACACGTAGAATTTAAGGAATGATGAGACGTCCAGTTGGCTGGGGTATCGC